TGGAGTGGAACCCTGTACAGGTAGGCTCTACTTTTCAGGGGGGGGGGTCCATAAGATTGATTTAATCAATTATTTGAGGTTTCTGAGGTGCGTCCACCCCGTCACTTAACTTGCTAAAGCAAGAGCAACTCCAGCTAGCTAAGGCTAGCTTTCGTGATTACTATACAACTGTGAAGAAGAACACCAGACCAGACCACCATCCGGACGTGAAGAAAAAGACCAGATCACAAAAGGACTCTTCACCGACCATCGGAACCTGGCCGCGAGGTCGCAGCCCGGCACACCCGACTGACCCACCTCCCAAACGGCCCCAAACCACTTGATCCTCTAGTTCCTGCTCGGGACAATACACCTGTGACACCTGTGCGTGGATGTTCGGGCTTTCGAGCACCGGCTTCCACGGCTTCCATGTCGACAGGTCTTATTGGCCCAGCAGCAGGGGAGCCGGCATCGGGGGCTGACCGCTCGCGGGGCCATCGGATTGAGCCAATGCTTCAAGACAAAGGTCCGTGACTCCGTGATAGCACGAGATTGCACAAAACTAGCCACCCCACCCACCCACCCGCAACATGGTGCCGGCATGCGGATTCATTCTGTCGTTTGAGATGGAACCACATCAGAAATAGCACACGCCTATGGCACCTATGGGCCAGCCTTGGATTGTCCATGCATTGTGACAATGAAGGTGACCAACAATGGCCCTACACAAATCGTCATGATGATTACTTGGGAACTCACTGGGTGGGGGGCAAGGCTAATTATTTCAAACGCTCCAATCGAATCACCTGTGGGCAATTTGTCAATGCACTCCAAATCTCTTCCAACTGCAGCCCGCCCATTTGCAGGGTGCTAGGTTTCTATGATCGAATACCTACCCCTGTACAGATGTGGGGTGGTTAGACATCCAGGTGTAAACAGTATACTCAACGTTTAAAAATTTTAAAAACAATCAGTGTTTAGATGATCCGTGCGAGCCTTGGTATAACAAAAAAACTTCCAACTTTCAGGCAGGCTCCGAACACAATTGGACCACCACCCAACCAAACTTGGGCACTGAATACTGGCACCACAAGTCAGCGGTCCTAGTTGTGTCTCAAGATAATATGGACAAAAGCTCCTAGGGAGATGTTTCTTATAGTGGGACATCTAATCATTTTGCAGGGGAAGTTCCCAGCAACCCACTGAAAAAACCACTGAGGTCATGTGCTTCCTTCCTATGCACCAGAAGTACCTATCTACTGCCTATAGGGGTATAGCTGCATAACCACTGTAAAGCACACACACGCCAAGCACCTCGAAGTCGCCAGTCGCAGCGCCGAACCCGGTGGATGCACGAAACTGTCGCGCCTCGATCGAGAGCGGGCTCTCACCTGCCAAATTCGGCGGAGAGGATCAATCAATCTGATCTTGGCACATCAAAAACCAAAAGGAAAAACGTATATATATATATATAAATACCTATAATAATCTACCGTGTCCATTCTTTACCTCATGATTGGATCACAAGCATACTGAAAAGGGCGCAAAAAGCCCTGTCAACTATAGCATTCTTAAGTGAAAAAAATAAAAAAAAACAAACAAACAATCTATCTGGCACACCCACGGCACCTCTTTGGTGCGGTCCCCTCGCCTGAATGAACGTGGATGCCCCTGGCCTTGGTGAGCTCCAAGAGGTGCGAGCGCACGTCCTGGGGAGTGTAAGTCCGAGCGTCCAGTCCTCGTGCGGCCGCAAAGGTCATGCCGTCCGGGTGTGTCGTTCAACGGAATGAGGCGCGGGCGAGGGTGAATGAGACTCTCCTCTCATCTTCCTCCAGCACGCATCAGTATTTCAAGGATGGCTACTAGGCATGTCTTTGGCTACTTGGCAGGGAGCTTTGAAGGAAGCAGCTGCTTCCGTTCTTCTGCTTCCTGCTCAATGGCCTGACGTGATTTGCCATAGAACACTCCACCCAAGATGGTGAGACTGGCACCTAAGATCTGCAGCGGAGTCAGCATCTTGGAGTGCATGCCGAAGGCCTCAATGCCGATGATTACAAACTTGTTGGCATTGATCATCACCAAGAAGCTTGTTGCACTGATGAGGCTCTGAGCCCAAATGCTGGTGTAGCTGATGGCCAAACCAATCACACAGCTCATGCCGATGAAAAACTGGTCCCAGCGCGTCAACTTTGAAAGGGCGAGTGGCAATGCAGAGACTTCTCCACTGGCATAAATGGCCAAGCCGACCGGAAGCAAACCAACCAAGTTGTTGATCAAGGTGATGCCAGCCTTCGAAATATCCACGGGACATTGTTCCTTTGACAGCAACAAGCGTTGCAGCAAACGATCCACCACTGCAATGGCACTGTTCAACAGCACCCAGCCAATGCCTTGCCAACTGTCGAGAGGCAGCTGCCACACATACATCATAGCACCCACAATCATCAAACAAATGGACCCAAGCATGTACTTGCTGATCTGCAAGGGTTCTGGGTAAAACCGCTCAAAGACCAGGGTCATCAAGGGAGACGTGTTGCGCAACACAATCACCAGCGTCATTGGGGCCGTTTTGAGAGCCAGAATGGATGTGAGGAGCATGCCGCAGTAGAAGGGCACCACCATACACCAACGAAGCAAGTCGCGCACCGAGCCAACATGGATGTATGGAAAGCCAAAGACGCCCAAGCAGAAGGCGGAGAAGAAGAGCTGAACCCACACCAAACAGCACTCCAATGGGAAGTCCTGAATGGCCAGCTTGTTGAACAGCAGCATCCCAACTGAAGCGAAACAGTAGGATGAAGTGGCAAGGATGATCTGCATGTGCTCAGTCTGGGACGTCATTGGGAGTTACGGACTTTGCTAGTTCAATAAGGGGATTCGCGTAGGTCGTTTGCTAAGCGTTTGAGCCACGCAAACAAGCAGCACTCATGGATGCATCAGCCAGCAAGAATATCCGATGACAACTCTAGATGCCTGGTAATATAAGTTCTCTTCAGTGCCACAAACGATTCAAGACAAATACCAATTCAAAGGAATGTACGCATACCGTACGCATATCACACAACTCCCCATAATGTCATGATGAACCTCAGCTTTCCAATGTGTTTCAGTCTATTCTCAACGCGCTATCAAATCCCCACTGATTGACGTAGTCCAAAACCATCGGCAGCCTGTCCCTGTTTTTTCATTCAGCCATCTCTCAGCGCGTTTTGCGCAAGGATGTGCAAAGACTACTTTGATGGGAGCAACGTCTTCCTCTCTTGCACTTCCTGTTCAATTGCTTGACGTGATTTGCCATAGAGAACGCCACCCAAGATGGTGAGGCTAGCACCAAAGATTTGCAGCGACGTCAACTTCTTCGAGTGCATGCCGAAGGCCTCAATGCCGATGATGACAAACTTGTTGGCATTGATCATCACCAAGAAGCTTGTTGCACTGATGAGGCTCTGAGCCCAAATGCTGGTGTAGCTGATGGTGAGCCCGATAATGCAAGTCATGCCAATGTAGAACTTGTCCCAGTGGTTCAGCATTCCATACACCACCGGCAATTGGTCAATTTCTCCTTTGGCATAGGCAGCAATACCCACAGGAAGCAAGCCAACCAAGTTGTTGATCAAGGTAATGCCAGCTTTCGAAATGTCCACAGGGCACTGCTCTTTTGACAGTAGCAGCCTTTGGAGCAAGCGGTCGACCACAGCAATGGCACTGTTCAGAAATACCCAACCAATTCCCTGCCAATTCTCCTTCGGAAGCTGAGACACATACATCAAGCCGCCAGCAATCATCAAGCCAATGGAACCCAACATGAAGCCACTGATCCTCAAGGGTTCCGGGTAGAAGCGCTCGATCACTAATGTCCCCAACGGGGACGTGTTGCGAAGCACAATGATCAGGGACATTGGGGCCGTTTTGAGAGCCAGAATGGAAGTCAGAAGCATGCCGCAATAGAATGGTACCACCATGCACCAACGAAGCAAATCATGCATTGACCCGACGTGGATGTAGGGGAACGCGAAGAGGGTCAAGCAAGACGCTGCGAAAAAGAGCTGTGCCCACACCAAGCAGCACTCCAAGGGAAAGTCTTGGACTGCAAACTTGTTGAACAGCAACATGCCCACCGATGCAAAGCAATAGCACGAGCTGGCGACAATGATCTGCATTTGCTCTGCCTGCGCCATGAGTGAGGGGTGTCACACTCAAAGCTGAGATGCGCTAGTCGAGTAAGATTGCGTAAAGTCGCTATAGGCACTGATTCGAGCCACCATCATCAGGCGGGCGGACGCCTTGAGCTCCTTTCATTGACCAATCACGCTCACGTGAACAAACAAGGACATGTGAGGACAGACGTGTCCCACAGACCTCCTGTCAGGAAAAAAGGAACATGGAACATCGTGGAACACAGACCTATCAGACCTGTCACAGACATATCAGACCTGCTTCGATTTTTTACCAAAAACAAAAAGGTCCATTCGCCAAAAGCCTTCCAAGACCATGTCCGCGCCAAGGTCTTTCAGGTCTTTCAACCGCCCCTCCTCATCAAAGCCACGAAGGGGCTGATCCTGACGGTGTGAACCCAGCGGGGGGGCTGGGACTGCCTGCTGGATCAAATCAGGCATTGATGAACCATAGGGAAAACCCAGCAAAGCATAGCAAAGCCATGTTCATCAATGCTCATCAACGATTTATTTCATGGTTTTCAATGATGAACCTCATGGGAATGCCATTGATGAGCCAGCAAAGCCATGTTCAGTCCCAAAATCTATCTGAACCAACCCAAATCATCCGGATGCTCGGGGCGCTTCCACCTGGCCGGCCCGCGGTCCCAGAAGGAACCAGAGTCCGGAAGGCCAATGATTGGCAAGTATGATTAATGTGAAATTGATGCATATAATATTATTACAAATACCTCAATCGGTGTAATTGTAATAATGTATATTGTAATGATTGTAATATATATATATATACTAATACGACTACTAATACGCAGATTGACGTGGCAACCAGTGAAGTGTCTTTGCCCATTGTCGTTTGAAGGTCTCTTCAACGTAGCCTCCAAGCAGGCCTCACGAAGCCCACTGAGTCCAGGAAGAGTCGAGAGATGTTCTCCCCAAAAGCAACTTGGCAAAATGGGAAACCTCTCCAGCAGCTTCAGGTCAGACATGAGAATAGAAACATATCCACACGAGGTGTTCTACAACCAACACCCTTTTTGGAAAGAACGTTCTACCACCGAAATCTGAAAGCATGTCCTCCGGGTATCGCCGTTTCACCGTTTCAAATGCCGGAAAGGCGGGCACCATCGGGCCACGACCCCTGGAAACCACAGCTCCTGCCGGAAGACCAGGTGCACTTCCGTCCCATAACCTGCGGCTGGAAATCCAGTCAACAAATGGATGTTTCCCCAGTCCCAACCACTTGTTCTGCAAGGGACCTCAAGCTGGCGCCATATTGGGTTCCATTTGTTTCTGGTTGCTTGGGGTTCCAGGTGGATCAACGATCAACAGCAGGCCGTGGCTCGGTGAAACGAAGACCGGTAGATGGTGGACCAAAGGCTCTGACCGAGCTACTCCATACAAAACTGTGCAATCCAAGGTCTGCCGGCACTTCTGTTGTGCAACATCCAGTACCACCAAAAACATGCAAGCCCGGTCTCATTGGCGTTTAGTTTGCAATTTGTACGGCATGTTTGTAGCAATTTAGAGAGGTCTTGAATCATTGGGCATTCACAGGGCTACTATATCCATAACTACGCACGAGAACCCCACGAGAACCCCCGCGGCATTCATTATAAATATATACATAGTAGTCCTCCTGGAGTAGATAGAATACACAATGTCCAAATCAAATAAGTAACTCCTCAAAACCAGCTTTCGACTCCAGGATGATGATGATGATGATGATGACGACGACATATATCTTACAAACTCCACTCATGGTCACTCTCAAGACAAGAAACCCCTGGTTTCGGACCTGTCTGTGACTGGCTTCGATCGCCCCAACCAGGACCCCACCATGGAAGAAGCCAGCGAACTCGACCGCCTCGGCGTGATTGATTGGACGAAGTCTTGGTTTGGACGAAGGGTTTTAAAGAACTTATATACCAGGTCTAAGCTCCATTGCATACCTCAGCAAATAGTTAATCCCAAATAGTAAAACCGATGCAAATAATCCAGCAATATCCAGCAACTCACGGGTATTCCTGGATTACATATATATGTATATAAGGATATCTACGGTGCCCCCCATCTTCTTGTATTTCCACTAAGAGTGGTATTCTCGTCACTGTATGAGTCTGTAAGAAGTGATCTCGAGTCTACAGTCTTATACAGTATATAGTCTCACCTCTTCCACCTCCAACTTCGACCCCATGATCCCCGAACCATCGATCCAACCCCTGCTCAGGACGTCATCTGGACGTTCCCGGCGATGTAGCCACCACCAATGACCACCAACTTCTCTGGCCTCCAAAGTGGTCCAACTGCGTCCGGTGTTCAAAGCGGGTGAGTGGTTTTTAGCCCTGCAAACGCCTTGTGTGTATGTTGTGTCTCGTTTGAGCTGCAAAGGTGCTTGACTTTTTGTGTGTGTTGATACTTTTGGGGTACTTTTGGGGGCAGCGCCTTTAGGATCTTTGGATTTTCCATTAAAAATGGCTTCCAGCCATGCATCTAAGGCATCTGAACATCTTGGTCCAGTTGATCCTAATTCTTCGAAGGCTGCCGCACAGCGGGCACTTCGCCCTCCAGCTGACCGCACCAAGGCCGCACCGCCAGAGGAGGCGGTGAAAAGAGCCCAAAAGTCTTTGGGTCTATACCTCCCTGATCTCCACTCGCATAAGTAACTTAATGATTATATGATATTATACGTATTTACTATATATTATTTGTATGAGATGCTGGTACGTTGTGCTTTTTGGACAACAACCTTCGGCATGTAACATCATCATCTCTGATGGCTTTGATTGAGGTAGCTCCCAGTTGCACCAGTCACGATGCTTCCACCGTGAAGCATCCCGCGCAAATCCGCGGCGGACCGCCTCTTGGGAAGCGCCAGGGCTTCATCGCTGGTCAAAACCTGGAGACGCCGCGGGGTCTCATGCCGGCCAGCGGGGTGACATTGCAGAGAGCAAGACGCAGCAAGACGCATGGCGGTAATGCCGAAGTTGGAGGGCTGGTTGCAGTCTTCCCCGCTGGTTGCGGGTACGACGTAGGGGTTTCTTGGACCCGAAGACGTGCACAGAAATGGTTCAGATGCCAGCAGAATACATTGCCAGACCCTTCAACAATATCCTCAAACATCCTTCAAAAGGCACCGTTCTCCCGAAACTCTCAGATCATTTCACATCTGCGACGTTCCGCTGATCTGGGCGCTTGTCTCGGCTGCCAGGCGCCATCTAAGTCGCATCCGGGGATTGGCCTGCCATCGGCGGCCCAGGCCGATGAGGTGGGGAGTGAGGAGACACCAAGAGACACCGTTGGGCTTAGGCACCAGTATGGAGCATGTATGAGCATGTCCTTATTTGAACAGGCAGACTGAGAACACCCGAAAACCCCAATCATGCCATATCACTTCTCACTTCTCCATACATCTCGACTTGCAACATCTTTCCTCTGCCTTTCAAGGATGTGGCGACCCGGCATCACGAGTCCCCAAGCCTTGGGTCTCCAAGCTCCGCGCCCTGCTTCCTCCGGGCTCCCGGGCAACCTCTGTGCCCGACCACCCGTGGCGACACAGATGTACTTGGCCGTATGCCGCTGACCGTTCACCTCCGTTGCACCGGCGTGGAGCGAGTTCGGTCGCCCCAAGCGGACCCGAACCGGCGAACCGGGTGGTTCTCCAACGACGCCGCTCGGCCAAGCACCTCTCACGTGGTCCACTCCAACCCCCGAACGAGAAGAAAACGCCGTTGGCTTCAGGACCAAAGGACAGGGATTGCCTGGACCAGGCAGGAAGCTATAGTGTGCTTTTCCGGTGACCGGCAACCCATTTGGCAGGCCAGAGAGTTCACAAAACACTCTCGTTGATTGGATTGAGACTTGACCCCTATAGCCCTGGATGGCCCTGGCTGCTTTTCCTGGAGAAGCAAACCAGTCGTCCCCCCCAGCAAATCTGCAGCGTTCCTACCCCGAACCGCGTCGACGTCGCCTCCACTGTGTGGGGGTCGATGATGCGCGCGTAGCCTTCGAAATGCTCCACCCCTGCGCCAGCCTGGCCGCTTGCGAAGCGCTGGTGGCGGCAAAGGTCGAGGCGCCATGAAGTGCCATGATGTGTGGCGGTGCCATGGGTCGTGATTGGTTTAGGCCCAGGCTGGTCCTACCGGATTGGTCAAGGCAAATGGCTCATCCCACTGGATTGGTCAAGGCAAAATCTCAGGTCCCTTGGTCCCTTGGATCTCCCTTGGTCTTGGGAAAATGGAGTCGACATGAGTCTAAGTCTAAGGAAAGACCTTAGTGGCCTGGTGCTCCTTCTCCCTTGCATTCACTCAGCAGGTTTTGGGAGTGATGCTTGAACTTCCAAACACAAATCTCTAAGGCTGCACAGGCTGCCCATGACCAAATTGAGCCTACAAAGCAATTTCGGGCCCAGCACAGCCAAACAAGCAAATATGTCTTCACCCCCACCATGGCATTTGAGTGGTCTTGAGCTTGAGATGTCTTAGTTGACTCCGGAGACAAGACAAAAAGACCACAAAGAGATCGAAGCAGGAAAGGCGCACCAGCAGCTTCTTGTAGATGCCATTCAGACCTCACGTTCTCCGACCCAGTCACTGCTCTCCCCACGAAGCATTTCGCTCGGAATCGGCGTTTCAGTGGCTGAGGACATGTATGTTCATCCACCTTCCACTTCCATGACCACCTCAAGTGTCAACCACCGCCACCCAGAAACGTCCACCAACTTTGGTCGGAACAGGCCGTTCCGACCGCCGACCCAAGCCTACAGACCCGTTTAGAGTCATGCACACGGCTCGCCCACCAAGAGTATAGCACTCCATGGGAGGTCTCATGGGAGGTCTGAACACTTTTGGATCTGAACTAAGCTTCCGACGTGTCACCTGGCACAACTTCTTGGAGAATTTCGGAGGACTATGGAGAACTGTGACCAATCACCCAACAATCGCAGTGTCACTACAAGTCTAATTGTACTCGAGCACACTCGAGCTAGAGCGTGGATGAATCATTTGTGAACTACAGAACTGCTTGAACTGCCTGAACTGCCTGTTCATGTGTCGTCCCGCGAAGCTCGCGTGACGCGCTTCGTGACCGCATGACCGCATGACGCTGGGGTGTCTTCGCCTCCTCGTTCTTTGCTTCGATGAGTTTCTCCCAATCAAGGCTCGGGGTCACGCCTCGAGTCATTCGAAGACATCTGACGTGCGACATCTGAGCATATCTGGATGCATCCAGACTGCATCTGGATACTGCCTCTAGACAGGCACGGGCGTGCCTCACGGGCGTGGTGTTTGTGTGCCGACACAATGATCACGATGGGGAAGCAAATGATACTTGAACAACCTTGGCCATCTACAGCAAGTTCTCTGAAAGAGATAGCTTTATGATTTATGACGCTTGATTCTTTCGCGGCTGTGCCCTGAATCCGCCCAAAATGGGCACCCACGCCGTCCGGCAAAGACCATCCATACCCCTCGCCATCCTTGAGATCCTGGGCTCTAGCAGGCCACTGGGCCACCCTAGTGCTAGACCGGCAACCAGGATCGACTTCAGGCACCCGGGGGCCACCGGTGCCAGCTTAATACGACCCATTGAAAAGCAGACGTCGCAAAGCACACGCAGTCCTCCAAGAGGTGGCTTCCATAGATCAATAACCTCAGTGACACTCCCTGAAATCATCACGGATGTGGAGTTCGCTCCCGGTTTGGTCTTTGGCACCAAGTAAGTAAGTCCTGGGGCCATGCCATCCACGCCCCGGCTGATCCACGGAGTCACCAATCCACGGTAGGCTCCAAATCTCCCTGAGGTTCCAAGACCCAAATTGGTGGGACCGGCCCAATTTTGGTATATCCCATAGTTCTGGGCCCAGTGGATGATCATGGTTCACTTGCCCTCTCAAAATCGTGATATGTCCGACTGAGTCACACCCTGTTGGGCCGAAACCTCCCCACTGAGCCGACGACTTCTTCGGCACACAGCCGCGGATCACACAAGTTCCTGACAGGGAAAGAACCTTGATCCCAGAATTGTTGAAGGGAAAACCTACAGAAAACACCCATAGTTCTGGTGGTGAAAGCAAGGGTTTCCTGCAGATTCTCCCTTAAACCCATTCATTGACAACATCACTGAACATATAAAAACAAAACCGAAGCGAACGGAAATGTTTGAGCAAAAATAGGATGAAACACTATGGTGGGGGGAGGAGTGGTCTTAGACTTGGTGATGTTTCTGCAGCAGTAGCGGCCACCCTTTTGCCGCTTGAACAACAAAGGGCTTCATGTTTACCCTTCTTTGGTACACTTCTTGATTTAAGTGCGTGTTCTCGCACCTTGGACTCTCATGAAAACTTGGTACACTTCTTTATTTGTGCACCTGCGCTCCCCCTTCGCTGCTAAGCGAACTGAGGTGCTCTCTGGTTCAAAATCCCCTTTTCGGGGAGGCTCAAGCCCCTTCACGTCGTCTTGAAGACGGTATAGCCCCACCACAGCTCCAGCAGGCACCCTCGCTTGCCGTTCCTCTCATCCACGAGGATCGTTTTCCTCTTGGACGCGATGTGCCATGCCACCGTCATCCTCCACTTTCCCCACCTCTCTTCGAGAAGCGTCTCACCCTCGAAGTCATACAGCTTCTTCCTGTCCTGGTAGTGGACTCTGATCCCCACCTTCTTGCCCCCCTCGAAGTCAATCAGGTAGTCCCATGAGTCCTTGGCCGAGGTTCTCCGTGGTGGAATCGAGAGAACCCTTTGCACCGCTTCATTGATGAAGCCTCTCTGGAACCCCGGCGTCCTCAAGTAGTCCGCCATTTCCTCCTCGTGGCACCACTTTCCCAGCACAATGCCCGGCTCGACCGTGGTGATCAACCTTAAAGGTTCCACTCTTGGGAGACTCGGCTGATGACCTCCATCCCGTGGACCTTCTCCTCCTTGAGGCTGTGCCCGACCTTCTTCACTTCCCTGTGCCATCATCTCGGCCCATTCGTTCGGTCCTCGTCCGTCACCTGGATCTCGCGCCACGAAGTGAACTCCCTCGCTATCGAGCATCACCCATGTTCCTCCGTGGTCACGTCGTGGTCCTCGACGGATCATGTAGCGATCCCACGCGCTCATCGGCAGCCCCAACTCTGCCCGCCGCCTCCTCTCATTCTCGGGGTCGTAGCTTCCTCGATGCCGGAGTTCCGAATCGTGTACTCGAAGCACATCAGGGCCTCCTTGATGGTCACCACTCAATCTCTCACCTTGCACTTCCTCTGTCTGGGTGCTCTGATGCAATAGTCCCTGATCGGCTCCTCCATGGTGTCCTGCTGGTTCAGGTCGGTCAGGAAATGGTCCATCTCTGGCCGTGGCCGATGTCTGCCCAGAAGCCGCCATGGTTGCGCTGTTGGGACTCGAATGCACCCTCATTGTTCTCATGGAAATACGGCCAACTGGAGTGCTTGTCCCGAGCTCCTGCCTCTGGTAGAGCGGATCGTCTGGTTCAGCCCAGGGGTATGCTTCTTCATGAGCAGAGTACCCAAATCCTCTGTTGCCTCTCTGGGTCTCGCTCAGATCCTCCACATGGCTCACTCCCACCTCCAGGATGCGCTCCACAACCAATTGGGCCACACGATCCCCCTTGTAGATTCGTAGGTCATCATCCGACCAGTTCCGGAGCAGTACCTTCACTTCCCCTCTGAAGTCTCGGTCAACAACTCCAGCTCCCGTTTCTATCCCTCTGATGGCCAATGAGGATCTCGGTGCGATTCTGCCGTATGTTCCGGCGGGTAGTTCAACCGCCAGTCCCGTTTTGATCAGCACGCTCTCACCCGGAGGTACCAGCGTCTCGATGACGGAGTACAGGTCCAGTCCCGCGGCATGATCGGACCCTCTCGTAGGCAGTCTCGCCTCAGGGTTGAGCAGCTTGACTTTGACTTCCTCCTTCGGCTTGAACCACCGTTGGATGCCAGAGGTTCCCACTCGGAAGGCGATGTCCACCAAAATAGCTATGGCTGCCGTGATCAACACAATGATCCACCACTCTCCTGTGGTTTCCTTCTGCTCTTCAGTCGCCGCTTCCACCTTTCCCAACAGGCTCGCTGCAGCAACCAGCAGTCCAATGCCCCTGGTGAAGCCGGGTTCAACTCCCTTGTGGACCTCAATCTTCTTGACCTCAATCGGCCTCTTCTCTGCCCCCTTCAGCCCCAGGGCTTCCTTGAACCTTCCCAATGCGGGTCCGGTGAGTTGCTTGGTGAAGCCATCGGCAACTAGGACCTTCCCGGACACATGATCCAAGGTGATCTCCTTCTCCCTGATCGCCTCGGTGAGTCCAGCTGCCCTGATCCGTAGGTGTCTCGTCCTCCATGAAGATGTCGTCCCCGTTGCGATGGCGATGGCGGCTGTCGAGTCCGAGTGAAGCCTCACCTCCGCCTTCTCCCTCAAAACTGCTTCCATCAAGGCTGCCGTGGATCTCCCCGCGATGAGTCCTTCCAACATTGCCATCAGCTCGGCCTCCGCAGTTGAGAGGGTTATGAATGGCTGTCGTGTCGTCTGCCATCCCATCGGGGTTCCTCCGACAAAGACGACTACTCCGGAGATGCTCTTCAGCTCTGACGACCCATAGGAGGCATCCGTGTAGATGTCAACCGTCCTGATCGAGGCCTTCTCATCGTTGTTGGCATTCTCCCGGGTGCCACCGTCATCTGCAGAAAAGACCAAGACCTCCTCCAGTGTCTCCTTGAGGTGGGTCCAAATCTGTTTCCCAATCTTGATCACCTGCGCCGGTCTCTTCGACGCCCATTGAGACATAATGCCAACACCCAGCGACAGGTCGGGTCGTGATCTTCCGGCCACCCACAACAGCTCACCCGTCTCCTTCTGCGCCTGGAGGACTTGGTCCGCCGTTGGGTCTTCCTCCTCCTCGGGAGTTCGGACTTGGCCTAAAGCGCCTCTTCCAGTCTCCTCGTACTCGCTCAGCAAGTTGGTGATGTAGGCCTGCTGGTGGATGACATAGTCGACCCCACGCTTCTCCACCTCCATTCCCAGGAACCTCACGGGCTCTCGTCCTTCCACCACCCATTCTGGCTCTCCAATCTTCCAGTGGGTTTTCACCTGTTCGATGAACCCAGTGATGATGTCCCCTTCGCCCACCATGAGAACGTCGTCCACGTACGTTGCCAACGCCCCCTTCGTCCTCCATTCAGACTTCTCATCTTCCTCCTGGATCAACCAGATGTCCGTCTGGGGGGTGGCCTGCACTCGGACTGGTCTTCCTTGTCGACTCCATCGGAAGTTCTTGATCTTCCCGTCCCGATGATCACACCAATCCCGGGGAGACGTCACTAACCCGTAGAGTGCTTTCTTCACCCACCACAACTCCTTGGGATTCGCCAACACCTCGGCCTCCTGGAAGATCTTTGGTGGTTGCACGATGATTGTGCCTCGTTCATGGGCTGCAGGGGCGTTGAGGAAAGCAGTCTTGACGTCTAGCGTCGCCAGGGACCACTGGTTGACTGCTGCCAGCTTGATCATCATCCTCACCTCAATCCCACTGGCCCCAGATGCAAAGGTCGACTCCGTGCTCTTGGCGTTCATGAAGTTCCCGCAAGCCACGCCACGACACTTGTGCCGTCCGGACCCTGCCTTTCGGCTGAAGATGGCCTTCGCCGGGACGAGGTCAAAATCCTTCCCCAGAGCCTCCGCCTCTGCCTTCAGCTGGTCAGTCTGTTCTCGGTCGATTGGCACCACAGCTTCAGATTCAGTGATCAGAGCGGTATACTCCTCCACCATCGAAGGTCGCCACTCCTCCAGGTTCTTTCTGACTTCAGCTAGTCCGACCATCCTCGTCTGGAGGAACTCTTGCTCACCTTCTCTGGCCTGTTCGGCTGCTGCCAGTCGGGCCGTCTCGTCCTGTCGCCCCTGGATCATCGCCTCCTCTGCGATCTCTTCCACCTCTGCCGTCAACATCTTGATGAACTTCTCGTTGACAATCTCCCCTTCGTCCTCTTCGAGGAGCGTCAACTCCCGGGCTAGATGTCTGGCTCCTCGGTGGTGCAACTCCCCCCAGTCTACGGCCTGGATTTCCTCCGCCGGACCCTGAAGGTGCCTCATGCACTTCCTCACTCTCCCGGGCCTCTTCCGAGGTTGATCCACTTCCTCTCGGTCGTCAACCTCGTGGATGAAGCCGGCCTCCCTTTCCGGAACCTCCAACTCCGCTGGGGTCTCCCCAACCTGGATGATGTCTCCGGTGTGGAACAGCTTGCCGGACTCAATCTCCTGGACAAAGTACCCCGAGTCGTCATCGACATCGTCACTGCTGGGCGCAACACCCGGACCTGGGTGCGGGTCGTCGAGAGGTACTTCTGCCTGTCGCTGTAGTACTTTCTTTTCGCCCAAACCACCTGACCGAATGGTGCCAAGTCCCGCTTCTTCCACCCCATCGATTCCAGCTGGCGTCTCAAGCGACCCTCTGCCCAATGCCTGGCCGCATGACACCAGAAGCTCTCGTCCAAGCCGGCCGCGATGAGGAGGGTTCGTGCCCCACGTTTCACCTGGGCAATCGCATTCTCTGCGCGGCCATTTCCTTTGAAGTTGTCGCCATCGTTGAAGGTTCTCATGATGCCCCTGTCATGGCACCACTTGTGGAATGCTCGGGACTGATACTCTCCCGCGCGATCCGAGTGTAGTCGCTTGACCGGGAGCCCCAAAAAGTCAAGCTTGGCCGCCATCCTCCCGATCGCCTCAACCACTGCTGGTCCTCCTCGGTTCTCCAGCACTTCAACGACCAGGATCTGCTTGACTTGGAAGTCCCTCTCTGCTTCTACCTTCTCCAGCCAAGCCTTCTCATCATCCAAGCCTGGCCACTCTTCTCGCACACCCGCTTCCTCTTCAGTCTCGACCACCGTCAGCTCCGGTCCATCCCCGAGGGCTCCCGAAAGTTCCTCCTCCTCATTGATCGGGATGAGCGACTGTCCATCCTTGGTCACCGGAGCGAGATAGACGCCCACAAGCAGACAGCGCCCCTTCCCTAGTTGATCTTCTGCAGCTTCGAATGGTCCTGCAGTATCGATCGAAAGAGTGTAGGCGTCCGGGTGTGGGACACGTCTGTGGGCCTTGCTCTTCGAGGCAGCAACGACACATGCCCTGCATTCTCGACTATAGGGCAAATGCCCGTTGAGAAGGTGTTTCTGCCAGGCATTAAGGTCCATCCTCCTCAGCTGAGGGTCACCCTTCTCCAGCGACTCTCTGACAGCCACCACCAACGCTGCCTTCAGTCCAGGAGCCCATGCTGCCCATGACTTCGATCTCGCAATCCTCTCCTGGATGGAGTCTCCTCGATGGTCTTCTCCACCTTGCCCTTGTCCTCGAAGCCCTTCAAGCTCCCTGAGCCTTGGCATGTTCGTGCCCAGCCGCGTCGGTTTACGGCGGGGGTGCCCCATCGGTCCCTGGTCGAATCTTACCTCGAAGAGGTCCCACATCATCTTGACCTTCTGCCACTCCGGCCACGACCAGTACGTTGGGTAGCGAGGGTGTCTGTCCCCCTCCTCTGTCTCTCCTTCTGTGGTCTGATGCCTGCATCGTCCGATCTCCTTCTTGGACTCCCCCAGGTAGGCTTCTGGATCATCAGGCTGCTCCAATGCCGTGACCACCTTTTGAGGCGAAGCCGCCTTCGAGGCTCGATGGTGGAGATAGATCTGTCTCAACCACAACAAAGTGTCGTCCTCCACCTGCTGCTTCAGCACCGGGTCCAGATTCGGCAGGCCAAACCTCCCGGGTCCCTCCCTCTCTCGAAGTGGTGGAGGTCCGGGTTGTCGATACCTCAACCGGCTCATCGTCCTGCACGGTGGGCCTCCGAGTAAGGCTCGTAGTGTGCCGCCATCAGCGATCTCCAGCAGGTAGGCAAAGACGTCGTCCCTGAGGATGTTCATCCCTCGGTCGATCACCGTGTCGACACAGAGTACTGCTCTGCCTTCAGACTCGAGCTCTCGTTGCCAGAACTTCTTGGTGTCCCCGCTGAAGAGGTGCACGACCACTTCTTTTGCCTTCCTTACCCTCCTTCTCTCATGCCTGTTCCATGGGAGAGACTCCCCCGTCCATCCAACCTTAGGCAAGATCCTCACGAGGATTTGAAGAGGGACTTCAGGAAATAGCTCTCGCAGCTCTCGTAGATGGTGAGCCTCTTCGACCTCCAGCTCGCCTCGACCACCCTCTCCTTTCAGAACTGCCAAGCGGGCTCTTTCTCTGACCATACTTCGTTCGATCTCCTTGATGAGCTCCCGTCCCAAGCCTTCATCCACTGTTGGGCACATCCCTTCCACCATCACGTCCAGCAGTGCTCCACTCGGGTCCGTGAGGGTGAACCTGTCCTTCTCCCAATAGGCTTCATAGCCCAGTGAGATCAGCACCCCAAGTGGGACGATCGTCTGGACCTCGTTCTGGGTCAAAAGGGTCTTCGTCCATGGAATCTGCCTGAGCATCACTGAGCCCTCTGCTAGTTCTACCCTAACTTCTTGAGCTCGATTCCATTCCTCCTCGGACTCTGCTCTTCGGAGACAATGGGTTGCTCCACCATCGAGGAGAGCTCGATCATTGGATCTGACTTCCAAGCTGCTCAACTTGATGGACTTGACAGCCGTTCTTCCTTCGTTGGCTGGCCTCAAGCTCTTCAGCAATGTCGTTGCCTCTGAAAGCAGAGCTTGAACCTCCCCCGAGCTCGCAGCGGGCTTCTCGACCTTCTTCTCGTCCACCACATCCTCACTTGCAGCTGGAGGGTTCTCCTCTGCCATCTCTCGCTCCATCTTCTTGGCGCTTGCCCCCTTTTCAGCTTCCTTCTTGAAGGTCTTCACATGTTTCTCAGAGTCGGCCTTCGGCTTGACTGTCGGGCACTCCTTCTTGGTGTGCTTCGTTGATGAACACCCAAAGCACCTGCCTTTCTTTTCCAGGCTGCCCCAATCGTGCTTGAAACGGCAGTCTTGCCCCTTCCTGCAACCGTCCTCCGAGCCCCAGAACCTGCAGATCTTCTCATCGTGCTTGCCCTCGCCCTTGGCCTTGCCGGAGCCCTTTTCCCCCTTCTCGTCATTCGGCGCCACCAGGGCCTTCACCTTTGTGGGCATAGGAGCCGTCCGGGCCTCCATTGTGGGCTGCAGTTCACTGATGGCCAGGGACTCTGCTTCCGCTGTGAGCATATCCGAGAAGCTCAAGACCGTCTCCAGGCTCGGCGTCACGTCCACTCCCAACGTAGCTCTTGTGGAGGACATTCGGAATGCCACTTGGTTCGACGTTTTTCCCACCAGTTCTGACATCCGATCCAAGGCGCCCAGCAGTAAAGTGGCATCTGGAGTGGCAATCTCTAGTTCCTGAGCTCGCCTCAAGCTTCGACGCCACCCCCTCAGTGCTTCCACCACTTCATTCATCGTTTGCGGGGCTTTTGGTTCAACTAGCTGTCGAAGGAGTCGTGATCGCTCCGCCAAGCCTCCTGGTTGGTAGCGTCTGAGCAGGGCATACAGCACCTCCACTGAACTGGTAGTCCGGATCTCTGCCTTGATGCTCTGCGGTACGGCATTGAGCAACATCAATTGCCCCCTTTGCTCGAGCCGACTCCACACCCCTGAGCATTCGACTGGGACCCTCGGCCGAATGTACAGCCTTTGAACTGGTTCAGCCTGCAGCCACTCCCGATAGGCCATCATGGCGAAGCTCAACACCTCCTCCCACCACTTCCAGCTGGTCGCACTCAAATCCTTCATAGTTGGAGTCACCAATTGGATCCAATCCCCAAGGATGATTGACCCCAAATCTCCTTCGTGGAGGTCCTGAAGAGGTGGCAGTTCCACTGACCTGATGGCTTCCGCCCATTGGCCCTCTGATGAAGTGGTTCCCAACTGCCTCAACACTGTCTGGGCCGCCTGCTCCAGCGGAGACCCTTTGACCATGTCTCGGCCTGCATCCCCATTCCCAGGGACTTCTCGCTCTTGCCCTCGATGGAGTCCACCTTGTAGGCCCCACCCTCCAGCTCCCCAAGATCCGGGCACGTCAGGTACTCCCAAACCTCGTGGAACCGCGCCTCTCCCCATAGTGTCGCCCTCGATGCCCACGGGGAAGTCCGGGATCTTCACATCGGCCCATGCCTGATTCGAAGGCTCCATCCTTCCCTTCACAGGGGTGCACGGGGGTGGATCCTTTGGAGGTGACGGTGGTGGAGTCGAGGTAGGAGGTCTTGGGCCTTCTCCACTGGCCTCTCCCTTCACCTTTTCTCTTGACGACTTGACCTCCCGTCTCAACTCTCCCAGCTCCTTCTTCAAGGCGGCATTCTGTGTCATCACTGCCCGGAGGAGTTCCTTGACGTCCATTGAAACC